TTATATTGACGAAATTGCCCTTCGACGAGCAATTCCCGGGCTATTTCCCATTCTCCTCACCAACCCCCACAACACAAAACAACCTTTTCCTGCACCTACTTTTTTTCTATTTTTCATTCTTTCCTTCCATTCCCACACCAGACACCATTAAAATAATATAATACACAAATAACTATGTTGTATATTATATATATCTGACCATATGCCTTTAAACAGAGTCAGTCTGCATTTGAAATTCTGTACATTAACATGCCCATTTTGTTGATGGGTGGTTTCTAGTTTATATATACTCTCTTTATTGATCTCTCTCTGCCTCTCATGGCGGCTGTATCCACCACTACATCGCAGCTGCATATTTCATACCCTGCTCGTTTATTCAAAACCCAATCAAGTCTGATCAATACAAAGAAAACCCAGTTGGGGTTTAAGCCCGGAGGCAGAGTTCAAGCAAAATGGGAGACGGGGATTGCTTCTTCTGCAAGTTTCGGATTGGGAAACAGAGGAAGAAGAAGGAAAACAGAGGGGTTTCAGAGGGGAAAGCCATGGGTGGTGACGTGTACGGCAGAGGGCATAGAGAGAGGAATGTTGATGGGAAACAGAGGAGGAGGATCAGGAGAGGCTGCTGCTGCTAAGAAAGCAATCAGTGTACCAGAGAGGTTCAAGGTGGTGGCTTTGTTGGCGTGTGTGATGTGCTTGTGTAATGCCGATAGAGTCGTCATGTCTGTGGCTATTGTTCCACTCGCAGCTAAAAATGGCTGGACCAGTTCTTTCTTGGGCGTCGTTCAGGTATTCTTAAACTTCGCTTAAACCACTCTGCCTCTGTCTTCTTCTTTTTTCTTTTTCTTTTTTTTGTTGTTGTTGTTGTTGTTGTCATTTTTGCTCGTTTGTTTGTGTGTTAACATTGAAATTAACGACAAAATCCATACTTATGTATGGAATTTTCAATAATAATTTTTTTTTTTTTGGGTCAATAGAGGTTTGTTTTCTTTGCGTGTTGTGCTTGTATAGGTAAACAAGGGAACAAGATTGTCAAGAAACAATAATAATGAGAGAAATATTGTGTAGTTGTGGTTGAGAAAAATGGACAACCCATCCAATCCGTTTACAATAAAAATGCCCATGGTGAACAATTCTGTTGGAGCCCACAGAATGACCTCATAGATTTTTTCTGTTTTTCTCAAAATATGATACAAAGAAGGAGAGATTCGAACACAGAATCTCAAAATTTCGAACTAAACGTTATTAATCACTTGAGTTATAAGTACATCGCGTGACATTAAAGGTTAATGTCTGTTGTTTGCTAGCAAAGATGATTGAACTGTACGGATTGTAGTGGAGCTTGGTCTGCACTTCTTGTGGGACCCATCAATCGTTTCTTAACATTTTAATTTTGAGAGTTTCACTAAAACACCCAAAATGGGGGTTGAAATTATAAAAAAACCCAAGCACTATTGAAACATATAAACACACCCAAAACCCATCATTACACACACTTAAAACTCATTTATAAACACACCCAAAAAGTTGACTTTGGGGTTGATTTTGGGTGTGTTTCTATGTTTAAATAGTGCTTGGGTTTTTTTATAAATACATGTCTAGGATTTGGTTTATTTATAAATTTGTATTTAATTTTTCGTTGCAGTCATCTTTTCTATGGGGATATATATTCTCATCAGTGATTGGAGGAGCCTTGGTGGACAAGTACGGCGGAAAAAGAGTGATGGCATGGGGTGTGGCCATGTGGTCTTTGGCTACTCTCCTCACCCCATGGGCTGCCAACCATTCCACAACCAGCCTCTTGGCCGTTCGTGCCTTCTTTGGACTGGCAGAAGGTGTGGCCTTGCCGTCCATGAGCACCCTCTTGTCCAGGTAATTAATGACTCCTTAATCCCTGCTGCTAATCATTAATTAGACCATTAATTTTTAATTACGATAATGCTCGAGTCACCAAATGATGTATCAATAATCAATGTACATGGTTTTAGGTAACTGGGAGAGCAAATTTATATTGAAGGACTCTAGGCTATATGTAATAGTGTTTGCTAATGAACTGAAGTACTAAAACCAATACATGAATTGGAAAATATTTTGAATCAAATCGATATGAGAATTAGTTAACACTACAGAAATAAATCTGTTTATATGTAATTTGAGCAGGTGGTTTCCAACCCAAGAAAGAGCAAGTGCAGTTGGAATCTCTATGGCTGGTTTTCACATTGGCAATGTCATAGGCTTACTGCTAACTCCAGTTATGTTATCATCAATTGGAATTTCTGGCCCCTTTATTCTCTTCTCTTCCATTGGACTTCTCTGGCTGACGATCTGGGCATATACAGTCACAAATGATCCAAGAGAGAGTTATTGCATAAGCAAATCGGAGCTCCGATTGATCCAAGCTGGAAAATCTGATTCTCCAGTAAACAGTGGCAAGCTCCCACCTCTGAGGCTCCTCTTATCAAAATTACCAACATGGACCATTATTTTGGCCAATATAACTAACAATTGGGTGAGTTTTTCTTACTACTAATGGGGTAGGAATATTAGTTTTGTTTTCTGCTGAGTAATTGATTCTTAAGCATGGCCTACCTTACAGGGATACTTTGTTCTACTCTCGTGGATGCCTGTTTATTTTAAGACTGTAAGTTCATTTTTCCTTGATCTTTGATCATTAGCAAATTTATCATGTTACTGGTGTATAATGTTAGTAATAATCTATAAATGAAATGCTAGATCACTATCCTAATTGTGAATTTTACAATCTTTTTTATAGGTATTTGGTGTAAACTTGAAGCAAGCAGCATGGTTTAGTGCTGTTCCATGGGGAACAATGGCAGTTTCCAGCTACATTGCTGGTGCAGCATCAGATTCATTAATCAAGGCAGGCTACTCTTTGACTTTAGTTCGAAAGATCATGCAGGTAGCTCTTGAATTTCCATCTGTTTTTAGAGCTCGTAGATAATTCGAAGCCTGCAATTCAGAATAGTATGATAAGTTCATATACATTATTGGTTACAGCACAAAATAAAACTACAAAGTTGGCCTCAAACAGGGGATATCAGTGGATGTAGAAAGCAAAACATTATACACCACATGACAGGAGGGCCTATTTCTTTTTCTCCTATTTAACTGAATTTTCTTGTGAAAGTCTAACTTGAATAAAATAAAATCCAAGTTAAATCCAGTTGTACTTAACAGATCCTTAAATATGGTAGTCTTATGTATCAAATGCTGAAAAATATTTGTGCATGACAGTCTATTGGTTTCATTGGACCTGGAGTGTCATTGCTCTGCCTAAACTATGCGAACACACCCACAGATGCAGCGGTACTCCTCACAGCAGCCTTGTGCTTCAGCTCTTTCAGCCAAGCAGGCTTTCTCCTTAATATACAAGTAAGTTCCATTCATCTAAGCATATGACAGAAAGAGTCAAACTAATGCAGCTAATAGTTAATTCCCTAAATAATTCAATTCAACCATAGCCATTAAACGGTGGACTCGGAATTTTCAATCTGATCTAGCTTCTGTGGTTTATTTGATCAGGATATCGCCCCTCAATACGCTGGATTTCTCCACGGTACGTTCTTCCCCAGTTCCTTGCCACAGAGGGCAAGATTAGATTCTATTTACTTTTTTCTTAGTATAGTTAGCTAACTTTAATGATTCACTGGCATTATATATCAACAGGGATTTCAAATTCAGCAGGGACATTTGCAGCCATAGTCAGCACAATAGGAACTGGTTATTTTGTACAATGGTTAGGATCATTTCAGGCATTCCTAACCGTCACTGCGGCGCTCTATTTCGCAACAGCAATCTTTTGGAACCTATTTGCTACTGGAGAGCGTGTCTTCTAGACTGAAATGTCCAACAATTTGCATCAGTAATATATACGCTTAAATTTTTTTAGGAAATCTTAGATGGTATAGGCATGGAAAAGATGAACATAAACATCAATGTGGAGATCTTAGATGGCATAGGCAAGGAAACGATGAACATAACATCAATTTGGATGTTCGAAATTTTTTAGGCAATGTTAGAGCTGAGAGAGATTTGAGCAAGTACAGTTGAACACTCACGTTTCAAGATTCTGCAAGGCATTCCTTGCTCTTCTGTTGTAAGAAGCAAATAAATTATTCATTTTAGAAGATAGTATTGGCTATATCGAGTAATGGTCGTTTTTAACTTAATAATTTCTTTCCATCATGTCGAAAATTCTCTCTCTCATCCAATGTGTAGCTTAGCCTATGATTAGCTGATGTAGAAAAGTACAATTTCTTATTGGTAACTCTTAATTATAGAATATCACATGCAGTGTATAAATGCGGTTATTTTATACGATATTTACCGATTTTATTGTTGATCATATTTTTAATACAAATGAGTTTTACATCAACATATATTAGAGAAATGATCCGTAGATAATAAATATGATGCAATGACATCATTACAATCAATATGTGTCGGTGCAAATGATTAAATTTGTTTCCCTGAAAAAAATCATAAACTAATATGTGGCGTGACGTGGCTCATAACGGCTAGCCAATAATTTTGCCAGATTTTCATCCACTCATAAGGTTTCGTTTTTATTCTTTTATTCTTTTTTGTATTTTCGTCCAATGGCCAAATTCATCCAAAAATAAAAATATTGGCCAATAAAACAAGAGTGTGATTTGCACTTGGATGACGTAGTCATGTTCATGTAGTTTGGATTAAGTAGATTAATCCAAAGATAACAAAATATTAAAAACTCTTCAATTATCTTTTATCTTGGCTACCTGCTAAATCAAGAACTTATTATATAATAATATGTTGTTAAATCCAAGAAAAAGGCAAAACAAAAATACGATGATAAGTCCAAAGTGGGTGACGTGGACGAGACCCTAAACCTACTATTTTTTTATTAATTTTCATCACAAACTGATGACCGATGAGAGAAAGTATTCACCCTTTTATGAGATTTTTCTCGCTGCTCTGTACAATTCTTATACAAACACCTTCGCGGTCGACCACAAAATATCAATCAAAATTCCAGATTTTTTATTTATTCGTATCATCCTGAAGATTTTCTTTCTCTGTATCTCGGTATCATCGTCGACCTGTCTGAACCTGATAAGACTCGAAATCATATTCTTGAAGATTGTCCAAATAAAGATAGCAGCTTTTCTACTTGGGTTTTGCTAAATCCAAAATTTTGATTTTCAGCTGCTTGGGTTTTCATTGGACAAGGTTTTGCTGAATTGGGTTGGTCTTTAATTCACTTGAAGATATGAATTTCAGGAGCTTGGAGGAGTTCTGGCCTTTCTACATGAACCAGCACTCGAAGCCATCGACAAGGCGTTGGCATTTTGTGGGGACCCTTGTTTCTATCTTCTTCTTCCTCTGCTCGCTGCTGTTTAATTGGTGGCTTTTGTTTCTTGTGCCTTTGGCTGGGTATGGATGTGCATGGTACAGCCATTTTTTTGTGGAAGGGAATGTTCCTGCTACGTTTGGGCATCCATTTTGGTCTCTCTTTTGCGATTTCAAGATGTTCGCTTTGATGCTTACTGGTAATATGGACAGAGAGATCAAGCGGCTGGGGAAGAGGCCTGTCTTGCAGGGATTCTAAATCTAAACCGGTATCTTCTCAGTTCTGCACCGAACTGTTACCTACTGGTCTAAGTTTAGTGGCTGTATTTTCTGATTTACTCTGTAATTTTGAACATGTTTCTTATATTGAGTGCAAAATATAGACAAGGGATATTCAGAATTGCTATTTGGGTTTGTTTATGTTGGCTTCAATCTGCGATAGCTCTTTTTTCTTTTTTTTCTTTTTTTTGTGGGCATCAGTTAGGTTCATATTTGTCCTAGGAGATCGGTTACAGATTGAATATGAAACTTGGAATTTCATTGAGCAAATAGAAACAGACTGATAGCCTAACTGAGCAAACAAATGGTTGAAATCAAATTACTTTCTTACTTTTTGGATGCCATTAGAATCAATCGACCATATGAGAATTGAGTGAGAGATGTTTTTGTAAATAAATATCCAATAGCTTTGCATTATATTATCCTCTGGACAATTATGAACGTAAAACTTCAGTTTGGTAGTCAAAAACTTCTTGTCCATAACTCATATTCGACTATGTTACAAGTTCCGACATGTATTGCCCAAGTTAAAACTCAGTCGTTGTGGGCCACATACATTTTGGGCCAACCAAGATCAATCTGAGCTTGGCCATTAAAAAAGTATTCACTTGAGTGCGGCCATGGTTTCTGCGATTGCTCAGGTGATAATGCATATCATGTTCCGTGAAGCTTGGCTTGTGTCTTGTATTGATAGAGGTCCAATATTTAGTCAGTGTTCCGCGAAAATGATGGCAAAGGCACAGCTTCCTGAGGACGAAGGATTACAAGCACGCCGAACATTCCCATCATCGGTAGGACGAGCAGCCACTTCAACAGTCTGTAATAATACATATGGAATGTGAGGGAGAAATCATCTGTAAAGTAGAGTCCATTCTTGTCAACCATCTCCACCATAACAGTCCCCGTTGTCCTTACACCAACTGTTGGAAGCTTTATACGGTATTTTCCAGGACGATTGAAGATCTCGTTTACCACAATCCTTCTCTCTCCTTGGTAGTTACCGGGCACTAACAAGGTTGTCTACATAGTTTAAAAGAAAAAAAAAACTTATTTTGAGAGAGAGAGAGAGTTGAACAATATATGGTGGCAAGGACCCACTTACCGTGACATTATATGGTGCTTGCAACCCAGATGGGTATCTATAGCCATCTATAATCTCAATCTCCACCCAGAAGTTCTTGCCCTCTTCATCACGGAAGGCTCTTGATGAATGTGAGACAAAGACACCTTCACGGTTGTACCTATTGGCAACATGATTTCGTCCTTGATTAGGTAATCTCCATGCCTGAGAAAGGACAACATGGTAAAGATTATTAAAACAAATTAAAATAAAAAAAATAAAACTGAATACAACAGAAGAAATTATCCACAGATTCAGCTTCAGTTCTATCCTGCCTTGAGGGGATGATGTGAAGCGGGAGTCGAGAAGCAAAAGACATTGCCATTCATGGTTGAAACAATAAGATCGAGATCATCTCCACCATCAACATTGTCTGCCAAGACCATGCTATATCTGTCATGCAGAGATTAATGTTTCAGGTAAACCATTGGAATGGGGAGAACTAATCGAACATTGAAGGATTTACAAAAAAACTTACGAAGTTTCACCAATATCAACAACATCTGTGCATGATGTTGGTCCATCAATTATGTATAAGTATCCATCAAATGAAGTTGTAACAAGGGTGAGTCCCTTCTTCTTCTCTCCTTTTTTACTTAAATCAACTAGAAGAACTTGATTCATAACTCTCCCATGAGTTCTATATGGATATGGACGAACAACTGACCCATCTTTGCCACTGAGAACATATATGTTCCCTGATAGGGTTGGAACCACAACATCAGTATGGCCATCCCCATCAACATCACCAATAGTGGGACCCTGAGGAACATAACAACTATGCATCAGATTGCACCACTGTGAAATATAATAAGATTTACTTTGACGGTGCCCAGACATGAATAATCCAAGTGTTAATGTGACTGAAATCAAAGAGGTTGAAATATTCATAGCATTAATACACAGAACCAAGATGCTCACGGTTCTTGATTAAATGAGAATCACAAATTTGTGCATGCAAGTTTACAACGGATAAGCTATCTAACAAGATGGTAAAGTAATATCATCAGGTCCAGAGCAGGAAAAACAATCGCAAAACAATTGATCGATTATAGTGCAAAAGATCTGGTCCCCCAAATATGGCATGCTGTTCCCATTCCCACACAACTTAATATAAAATGAAAACTGCAATGTACCTGGGGAACTAAACTCTTAAGATGCGTTTCCCAAATTTCTACTCCTTGTGGAGTCCATGCAGCAACATTTCCATGAGCATCAGTAGTCACTAGTTCAATTTTTCCATCATCATTGATATCAGCAGCAACAACAGCTCCTTGAATTTCAGCCATTTCAAGAGGAAATTTTTCCCTTACCTTGCCTGAACAAAAGAAACAATTTAGTTACCACATCACTGAGAAAAAAAGATCTGTATGTAACAAAAAGATAATCCAGCATCTTATATAACTGGTGCAGAAGTTATAGCAACTCGTGCATTTTGAGCTAAATATGTCAGCAAAGCCAGGAATGAGGATAAGAAAAGTTAGGTCACCATGATGATCCAAGACATAAAACAAGCCAAAGGAAGTCCCAACAAGAATGTCCAGATTCCCATCACCATCCAAATCCACAACAGTTGGAGAAGAATATATATGAGCATGGAACTGCCCAGACTCTGTACTCAGATCTAGTTCAGCAGTCCACTTTACTTGCTTTGTGTCAAGATTGAATACAACAATTGAACCAGCTACATACTTTCCAATATCAATGTCACCTAATTCCTTCATACGCTCCGGGTTGTCATAATACCTGCCAATTTACAAGGTGGCAGATTACTTTCAGACCATTAATTAAAATATATGCTTATTTTTATAAATTCTCTAATGTGCATCATGTACAGAAAAGACTTGCTTTTCCAGCGCCTACACTGCACAAATCCTCTAAAATCAGGAGGTAGACTCTTTAAATGGGAATAGAAGTGTTACAGGTAATGGGATTGACTTCCACTCAAATAAACAACCATTTTTTTCAGTTTAATGTTAGAGAAGTAACCATTCATCATTAATATATGATTCCAACTGTAAAGAAAGAAGAGTTTTGACACTAAGGAAGAGAACTCACTCATGATCAAAGAAGTAAGATACAGCAACAACCATTTCTGATACTCCATCATTATCAATGTCCGCTATGACCTGATGAAAATAAGAAACATATCCCCATCAACCAATTTAACTAGCATCTGGCAATAAAATCCATTCATAACTAACATTCATGCTTACATGCATACTTGATGCCTGTGCAGTGTGTGCATGCATGTGAAATGAAGAAACGTTAAAATGAAAACTCACAGGAGTGCAGAGAATGTGGGCATCAACATTGACATAATCCTCCAGCCTCTCATGTTGCTCTTCAGTCCACTCCTCATCTCCCCACATTGATTCATCAACATAATCATCATAGTCATAACTATACTCATCGGCCAGTTCATCACTGTTACGGAATAAATCAAAAGATGAATCGGCATCTCCTTCCAGACGTCCATCATTTTCTACAGTTGCAATAGGAACATCCTCCTCACTATTATTTTTGGATTCAGAACCAACCTCCAGCGATTCGCTCGATTTTTTGTCTTCCAAAAGTCGTCTCCCAGAACTAGTTGCATTCACTGCATTAACAGTCTCCTCTGACACATTTTTCACAGAAGAATTGTCTGTGCTTGTAGGCAACTTGATAACTGTTTCTACATGACTTGAATTTGTTTCCAATTTATTCTCTGGATTTGATGCATTCACCATGCTAAGGTTGCTTTCTTTTGAAATAGTACTTGAACTGTTTAAATCAGGATGGCTTTCTTTTGAAACAGTACTTGAACTGTTTAAATCAGGATGGCTTTCTGTTGAAATAGTAGCAGAGTTGTTTAATTTAGGTGTACTTCCATCTGTTTCTACAAGGATAACCATCAATTGCAGACAAGATTAGTTCCTCTTAAAAGGCATACTTTCACAGTCATATAACTGTTTCAGGTGGCTCAGCATTCTCTTCCTAAAGGTCCACGGATGTTATGAATATGAGCACCCTCAAAAAACCATAGCAGTTGCTAAGGAATTTATATTAATAAAAGAACTACTGCAATATGTAAATAACTTACGATGAGTTGATTTCATAGCCTCCATGACAAGAGAATCATCATTAACATCTGGATGAGTACGATCCACGGGATCTGGATGCAAACCCCCATACCAGTTCTTTTTAACTTTCCTACGGGGTACTACAAGTTTATCTACCATCATGTAGCCTGAGACCCTAAGAGAAAAAATACACAAAAACATTTACGAGCTTGTGCAGGCTGATATATTATTGCACGGACAAGAAAAAAGAAAAAGAAATATAACTAATAACATCACTCACGCAAAATATAAATATAAATAAATTACCTGAAAAATAGAACTTCACCATTGTAGGTTGCCAAAGTTATTTCTCTCACACCATCCTTGTCAATATCATAGAGGAGAGGACTGGCATGTACAGTTGACTGATGGAAAGCAGGCCAACCTGATAAAGAATTAAGCAGGTACTCAGAAAAATCACTTCACCAACCTTTAAGACAGCTTTACCCAAAAAAGATAAACGAAATTGCCATACCAGGATGTTTGTCTCCGTCAGAACCTTCTAGAACTTCAAGATAGTGAACAAAAGAAGGAACCACAATCTCAAGCTTTCCATCACTGGGAGGAAGAAAATGAATGCCAAAAACAAAAAGAACACACAAATCAATTCCAGACACATATAACTCAAACGCCAACCATAATTAGTCCCCTTGGTGATCTCAAAATGCATAAGTAAATGCCCAAAGTTTCAAGCCAAAACACTTTCCTTCTCGTACCTATTAATATCGGCGATCAAGGGCGTGGCATATATGCTAGAACTAACTTCAGTTTGCCATCTTAGCTCCAATTTCGCAGGGCACTGCGTATTCAACAATGCATCCTCATCTCTAACAAAATACAGAACCAATAATAGAAACGCATCAGTCAAATGCAAAAAATTCCATACAATTAACCTAACAATCAATAGAAATCCTAGTGATTATATGCGAATTAAAGGCAATTACGACAGTTGAAGAAGAAATGAACATACATGTTTGGATAGCCAAGGGAATCGTCACTGGCCTCACGTTCCCTGAACTTATTTTTCGCTGGCTCCTCGCCATGAACGAAGCCCGAGCCGGCACAGAGAATTAGACAGATCAGGAAAGCCCTAACCGCGGTAGATTTCATATGAACGTGCTCGCTTGAATCAATCTGATCGGAAATGAAATTGGGAGGAGAAGATAAACCCCAGCTACTAACTAGGGTTCTGAGCAATGTCTCAGAGATGTGAAGAAGCGAGTGAGGCAGAGAGAATTTAGGACATGGGAGCGCAGAGAGTCAACAATGGAGGACTATAATTGTAAATGCCCCTTGGGTTTGAGTAAATTACATTTACGCGCGAGAGGGAAGAAAAGCGATGTGTTTATTTGCAGAGGTCCGGTGACCGGTGAGTGCGGCCAATGGGTTGTTATCTCGGGCGCCAAATGACGTCTAAAGAAGTAAGACAGTTAATCGTGATCTTTGGAGACTTTGTGCTGTCTGCTCTGCCTCATAAAGGACTAGGAGGAGGTGGGGGCAAAATAATTCGTTCTTTTTCTTCGGTTACAAAACCATTTGTTCTTTTATTACTTCCAAAATAATAAAAATACTTTATCTTTCTTATTTATTTTATTTATTCTTTATGATTATGAAACTAAACTTACACCTTAAACTTGTAGACCAGCCAGAAATGAAATATATTGGTGAAATTAAGCTTGAGATTCTAAGCATTGATGCATTTCGATTAAATCCAAAAACACATGTAGATTGTTATTATACTAACCACTGATGTCACAATACATCAACGATCAGATCAAACCTAAAAACGAGAGTGGGTGATCCAATCAAATCCAAAAACACTTGGGTCACTAACGCTAGCTCTATCAAAATTCATATAGCTTTACCCACATCATTAGAGCGGGGAAGCCTTGATTGTCAAACAACATTAGCAAAACTCATCCACCATGATCAATCCTTATAAAAAGCAAATACTTGGCAGAACAGTTGGTAATTAGCTCATGAGACAGCCTCTTTGATTGTCGTTTATGTAACCATCCTCAATATTCATTTACTATAACACCACAAAGACAGCATCAAACAGGAAATGGATCATCTCAATCATAAGAATAACATCAAGGTGCGTGGTAAAAATCCAAAATCCCATTTCTATCTTAAACAAACAAAATATGGAAAGAAAGACGAAAAACTAAAACAAGGATTTGGAGGAGCTTGGAGTCATTTACGGTCCCGAAGTTATATTCACATTAAAGGGGAAAGGCAAAACTTGGATTGTAAAAAATGCCTACCTTTTTAAACAACTTAATAATATCATCTGAATATACATGGCTGACACTAACCCTACTTCTCTTCATCTGACTACGACTATCAGAACCAAATAAATTTGACAATAATACCGGGGGGTTATCTGGTGTGCCAAACTGGATCATACAACTCACCAGCACAGCACTCAGTACAAATTATAGCTACGCTTTAGCTAGTTACACAATCTCTGTGATTCATCATCAGCTGATATGCCCAAATTATGCCGAACTCAAGTAATTACAACTCTGAACGACTTGCCAACAAGGTGTCTGAGGGCAGCCTTTAGTACTACTACGCTCGCCTATTATCAGCAAACCTTACAAGAAACTGCCGGTGTTGCTCAGCCCCGCTGTCACCTCCGTCGTGCTGCATTTGCATGCTGCTGGGCTGCTTTGCTATCATTCCTTATCCTATCAGCATACATAGGCAGACGAATGATCTCATAGATCTCAGTCAACAAGATGTCCTGCGTGATATTATCCCTTATGCTTCGCATAACCTGCTTCCAAAATCAGCAATCAATAAGCCCAATGTCTGGGGTCAAACAGGAAAAGTAAAATTAAAATATGTGGATAAGGACCTTCTTGTAGGTATTGAAATCATTCGGAGTTGATTTGTCGGTCCTGATGCGCATACAGACCCATTCATTTGCTTCAGAAGACCAAGAACACTCAATTATTTTTCCGGAATAAGAAGAGGGGTCTGAACCATCTGCTACACAAGAATATAAAAAAGAATTTAGAAAAGTAATCACAACAGGATCATGTCCAAATCACACCCAACATAACCTAATACTAGATTCTAGTGCTAAGTAGATTGCTGAAGATATGATGCGGTAACCAAGAGGGCCCAATTTAATAAGGCAATGTTACCAATAGTAAAATAATAAGAACTGATAAAGACGCAAATTTAAGAGAGCCAACTGCAAATTTTAGCAATTGCTAGGCAACCCTCCCAGCCCATAAAAGCATATCATATCAGAAATAAATAAAATAAAACTAGCAGAGGACATCAAAACATGCTAAATGACAGCAGAATTCTGTCACAAGGGTAATAAAAATTAAACATTTCCAATAAGAATACTGTCTGCCCCAAGTTACAGCATCAAAGATTTTAAATTGTTTTATATAGGTTTCCCAAAACACTTTAAGCAATAAAGGGAAAACTATAAAAACAACAAAAGTTATCATCCATCATTTTTTTCATACATAAATCAAATAAGACTGTAAATCTGCCAGTGTTTTGGGATCAATCCACATGTGTATGCATGTATCCCCATGATAGATCTAAACAAAAAGAAAGAAAATACGTGTGCTTATTTTAAAGTTGGTAGACAGCCTCAATGCAAAATTTCAGCTGTACAATCATGATTAACCCCAAACATGATATAGAATTCATGTCGACCTTTAAATGCAACTTTATTTCCTTCCATTTGTTTCTTCTTTCCGCGTTCATATAGAAAAAGATGTTGCCGATCATCATCGCCTACCTGTCCACACAAGTAGCTTCATATAAGAAAACAAGCACAGAACAAATCTAAGGTAAATACCAAAAGGAAAAGAGAGAGATACGCGAAGCAATAGCTTAAATAACACAATAAAGTTTTTTTATGTATCAGCAAATAACTCAATAAAGAATATAGCACAACCTCAAATAGAAAATCAACCGAGTTCATTTCAGGATATTTCCACTTTAGAAGTCCTTCATGTGTACGGGGAACATATGGATCATCCCAACCCTAGCATATCACAATTATAAATAATTAATTGTTTGCAACCATTTAAAAGGGTTAAATGTCAGCTGAATCATCAAGTACAGTGATTGCTACATAGTCCATATTCGCAGGGTACGACATACAAATAAGTCAATGATATAGTCAAGAAAAACAGAGGGAGCGGGTTAGAGTAGGAGTGACAGAGGGAGGGTGGGAGAGGAGAAACGAGAGAGAGAGAGAGAGAGAGAGAGAGAGAGAGAGTGTGTGTGTGTGTGTGTGTGTGTGTAATAAGTAAACAAAGAATCCTAAATCAAAATATATTAAGTAGTATCATAATATATTTTCCTTCTGAATCCTATTAAGGAGCTGTGGTTACTACTCCATATATTTTCATTTAGGATTCATTGTTCACTTATTTTGATCTCACAGTTTATGATCCTCAACCACCTGAAAGATAAGACCATCTGCATCATGTGAAAGCCTTGGAATAAATTCCTTCAGAAGTTTGGTTACTGTGGAGAGCAACCAAAAATCCTTCCTCCTCACCTGATAAACATACTGAGAGAATTAATCCCAGCAGAAAAGCAAACAGTGGAATGAAGTTCAAGATCAGAACCCAGAGTCATTTATACATACCCTGAATGGTTCTAAGTCATATCTATAGTAGGGATTCCTACTTTGGTAAATATTGTGGCGCTCATGATTCCGAGGTTCAATGACTTCTTTCTCAAGCATCTTCCACCGTTCATAAAAAGGCCGCTGCAACAACTCTAGAATATTAGATCCATAAAATGGGTAGCTTAATATTGCAGAAAAGATCAGGAAAACAAATTGTAACCAAATTTGATAATAGTTCCAAAAAAAGAAAACGTAAGTGGCACAACAATCAGGCCAAAGTCTGACAAATGATCTCAAAATACCGTTGAGTGGCGCTTTTCCAAATAAAGAAATAAAAATACACACACACACACACACACACACACACATATATATAGTTGAGCAGTGAACTGCACAACCATATAGCATATACCATGTGGTTATTAATATAAGAGCAAGATCTTAAATTCTGAAGTTTGTCCAACAAAAGTTAATGATGTAGATAGCCCAGGTGAAAAGGCACAGGAAAAGGGCAAACTAACCTCTATGATAGGAACATGGTTGATTGCCATCATATCATAAATGAGGTATCTTCTCTCCTGCCTCTGTGGATCAGGCACAGTATCAATTATCATCTCACCATCCAGTAATGTGTAGTGGTGGGTCTTCTCAGCTAAACCCTTACAAGCCAAAACAAAAAAAAACAAAAAAACAAAAAAACACAGGTCACTCTAACTTGTGAAGGATGCTCGACATGTAATCTTCCTCGTATCATCAAGCTTCCTAAAAGTAAGTGCACACATACCTCATTTGTGTGTTTACAGGGAAACCTCATTTGAACCCTTCTAAAATTAAAATTTCTATCAACCAAGTAACATCCATCCATAGTTATTAACATCATATATCGTGTTCCATCAGCCTTCCATGTAGCATAATAATAGCGTTGCCTCAACAGCTGTAAGTTGTCCCTGCATGTATGAGAAGGAAGTCCATTCAGATGACAATAACAAAATGAAGGAGCAACACTAAGTAAAATTGAACTTCAATAATCAATTGCAATTCTTCCTTAACATGTGTAAAACAGTATATAGCAATACAGTTAATAAAGCATACTCAAGGAGAAATCTTTACAGATGCACACTGGAGTCATCTATCAGCCAACAACATTAAGAAACCAAATATCAAGTCACATTGGATCTCTTTTCAATCCCCACATATCAGTACAGGGCACGATAGTGGAAAACCATCCAGATAACGCTAAACTTCAACAGTGCTACAAATATATTTTAAGCATAAAACGAACTACAAACTATCCCTACATACAAAAGTTCAAAATATCAATTCAGAAGCATGCACCGATTTCAATAGATTCATTGTGGATGCAAGCAACGACTTTGTTGAAACTACAATTTTCAGTTATTGTTCCAAATGAAACATTGTATTATATGCTCAATTTTTCTTTAAATGAAACCACAGCCAAAAAAAAGAGAGAGGAACAAGGAGCTGTGAAATTGAACCTGTTAAGAGAAACTGGGTGCGACCCTGGGAATTGTGAGTTTCCTCTTCCCTGAAATTAAAGAAAATGATATTGAAGTAAAATGTGATGCAAATAGGAATCAAATGATATTAAAGAAAATACATGATTAATTATCAAAACAGCCCAACTAAAGATATTATATATCTGTGGATTTAGATAAGAAAGCCAGAAACCATCAAGAATACAGATAGTCTCAACATGCCTACCCCAACAACCAGCTTAAGAGTTTGATAGCAGAACTGCCGCATTGACTCTTGCTGGTCCCAAGGTATCTCATCACCCAAGATATCATCATTTGTCATCACTCCATTTGTATCCTGACTCTCCTGAAATCATAGAGGAATGTTACAGCTAATTGAGGACAACAATCAAATAACAAACATGTAAATAAAGAAAAAACAAAAGGTCATTTGTTTCCATTACATGATCAAACAGGAAATACAGGATAGATTAGTAACAATAAAGAATCCATTAAAAACATTATTCATTGGGCATAAAAATTAGTCATCTATCTATGCCATGCAACAAACAGGAGACCACTCATCATTTACTGAATTTTTTTATCTACTTGTCAATCATTCGGGGGAGAATAAGATCAAAAACCAATAAATCCACTTTCCAGACTTTGCATACATTCAAAGGGGCAGCAGGACCTCCATCATCATCATCATCGTCTGCAACTGCTTCACCATTAAGATCAAATTCAGAAGATCTCTTCCATTCAGGAGTTGGGGGGCAGACAACCATTTCAGGCTTTCGTTCATGGTAGAATGAGTATAAGGCATCAATATAGTCGGGTTTGTAGATTCCTGGAGGGCGTACGTCAGCAAACATTTTTATTGCCTGTTTAATAAAATGCAGTATTAGAAAAATAGCAACAATAAGACAAAGAAATAAAAGCAGGTTGGTTTACTCCAAATTTAGACAGTTCAAATTAGTTCATAATTACCTGAGTGACTGAAATTGATAACGAGCGCATTAGGTAGTGGATAATCATATACCCTGTGCGATTGTGCCCATGTGTACAATGGACAAGAATAAACTTCTTGGACTGCTTTTGACGAGAGAGGAATTGTATAACCTGCAATGGAGTATCATAACCAAAAAGTTTACTTTCATAAAGCATATGAGTAGAAAATAGGCAAGCCATTTAACCATGTAAAGCATATAAAAAGTTTTTTTTCCTCATAAACAAATAGGCAAGCTAGTTGGGAAAATAAGCAATAACTTAACAGAGAACTGACAGTGGAGAAGATCAAATGGTAGTGAATAACAACTTAAAAAAGACAAATACAGAATAGCATTGTTGGCTGGTTACAGGGTGTACTTATCCCGAGGAAATATAAATATTTCTGAAAAACCATTGCATGAACTAAATCAAGTACTAAACAGAATCACCCCTGCAGCCGAAAATTTTTGTTAAAGATTCATACAGGAAGGACGGCATATGTCAAATAAGAAACAAACCTCATATACAAACTGATTTACAGATAAGTTGTCCGGTACTGAATCCCGACCCTTGCACGCAATCTACATTTTCAAACAGGATTCCCATAAAATAAAGTTAAGTGTCCAATAGTTACAAACAAAAGTACCAAAGAATACAAAATTATGCCAACATTTACTACTCACCTTAACATGCTTAATACCCTCTTTCTTCAAATCTGATGTTAGATAATAGCGAGACGTATTCGTCAAATCAATCACCAAACCAAGCTGAAAAATGAGTGATGATGACCTTAAAATCATTTCAAGCATTGAACAATACAGAAGAACTCTCATGGTGTTACTATTTAGTTCAACTCTTCTTGCCCAAAAATTTCATCCACATGCAATATCCAAGCTTTGACAGCTCTTGCATGTGAAAAAACTACCTTTCACTACTTACATCAACAGAAAATTTCTCCAATATTCATATAAGAGATATTAAAGATTCCAATCCGGAGAATTGAAAACAAAAAATAAGACTAGAAGAAAAAAGCATATAATTTCAGTGGACTTACTTTTCTTCCCAAAACTCTTTGTTGATGAATCACTTGTTTAAATGAGTATCTTTTACCAGGAGGAACAGAGTCATTATAAGATTCACCCAGTGGCACCTTAGAAGGTATCATGCAGAATATTTCTTGACCAGATGCAGGACAATCCAACCAACCTGCATTGTGGGGAACAATATGGTTAAAGATGACAGAAGTTAAGCTAAATGAAAATGACATTTCAAACTGGCCAACAAAATCACGGCGCACTTTGGATGCAAATACAGGATACAAACAAACCACCTCAAACTAGTCAACTTCAAAAATAATTAAAACCAAAATTGTACATAATCTGCACACTCATGAGTCATATCAATGCTACAGAACGAACCCCAGTTCAGCAGAGAAAGGTCTAAAATCCTCTATCCATACTAGTTTTTTGGAGTGACCCCGTTCAAGCTGTATCAAATTTTATATATTAAGTACATAGTAGACTTACATATCATCCCAAATCCATTGAAAAATCAAATGATAGGGAGAACTAGGTAAGGGAACTACCAAACTCATCCAAAGGCAGTCAACCAACTCCTTCATTAATTTCATCCTTATCAAAAATGAAACTAAAAGAACCCACAAGTCATATCCTACGCCCGTTCCATTTCTATGCACTTGAGTTCTTATAGAACAAAGAGAACCTACAGAAAAGTAGTTCTTCTAAGTCAGTCAGAATATTTTATTACAGTTGCGACCTACACTCCAAAAGTCATCAACAAAAAATCATGACACATTCATTGAACATAGAGTTTCTACATATCAATCTGCACACTTTAAATCTCAATGAGTCTATGGTTTGGCTATAATATCAGGAAAACCTAAAAAGCCAAGCTCCCTCAATATCAAACAAGGAAATTTTATTCCAGGATTACAAGCACAAAGAATATTGAAGTTTAAAAATTTATCGCACAAAAGTTGTGCAGGGAATATCAAAGCTTTGAAACACTTAAGCTTTTCTCCTAACAAGAAAACAATAGAGAAACAAAAATGTTTCAACAAAAGGCAGAACCACTTTTTTAACATAACAGAACATATAAACAGTAATAATTTAATTCTTGCACAGCATGGAACTGGTGAAAATGCAGTGACATGCATACCTCCACTAAGCAATGCAACCAATGGAAATGAAAATATATTAGCAAGACTACTAACCAATATACAGACAGCACGTGAACATATAACCTACCAGAGGGGAGCCTAGACTTGTCATAAACTTTGGGGTTTTTCGTTTGATACGAATCATATGCAGGGGGTTGAGATACATGCATTGGTCTGTCATCTGGGCGGTCGCGTTTCAATCGCTTACGTCTTTCTTCGCGCTCCTAATACAAGGAACACAACAAAATCAGCAACCAGGCACATAAAGATGTTGAGTTCAATGTATATTATATACATATATTTATATAAAGTTATTCTCTCATCCAGATGTCCACAAGTTATCACCGTGCAGATGCCATTGTAAATAGGGGGCAAAACAGGGAGGGGTAGTAGAAAATACATCGCATCTGGACATCCGCATAGGAAAATTTCTGTATATATATATATATGCATGTATGATAAGAAAAGGGAATGAAAAAAAGATTGTTCCATAGCTAATCTTTGTGCATGTGAACGAATGTGTGTGTGCACACAGGCTTGTGCATGGCAAAATGTGTCTGTTGTGTGTGTGTGTGTGTGTGTGTGTGTGTGTGTGTGTGTATGTATGTGAGAGAGAGAGAGAGAGAGAGGAGCTGTAATACTTTTTAAGCCATAAGTTTCCCCATACATGATATATTAAACCAACAAATAAGAAGTGAAAAAAACTTGTTTGACCAATATAAAGGTTTAAGAAATAAACTAATTGTCAAAAATTGTAGATGCAATTAAAAAGAGTAGCATGCAATAATTTGTCTCTCATGTCACTCTAAATTTCTAAATCCCCCTATCTTATGCCTAAAAATAACGAGAAATAGCAATAAGAAGAATTTCAAGCATTGAATAAAGGAAAAATTAAAAAAGGCTATTGGGATTAAGAGATTCCTTGTTCAAAAGAAAGAAATAAAGAAAAAAACTCTGTGAACTTTTGCAGCAACCCTCAATAACTACAATAACAAAAGAAACGAGTTCATCCAGTTGCCAATACCCATGGTCAGGGGATAAGTAAGTTAAATGAGAAAATAAAAAATAAAAAAAAGTACCCGCCGTGCTATATCAGCTCCACTCTCTATGCGTTCTTCTGGTGCATAATGTTCAATGTGACTTTCAAAAGTATCTTCATCTTCTTCAGGTAATGGTGAGGCATTCAAGTCCATGGCAGCAATCATTCATAATCCACCACACTACATTTGCCAACGTAGAATCTTGAATGCTCACTCTCTCAACAACTTTTAACAACGAAACAACCTTTCATTCCAAGATTGCATCAAACCACATGATCAGCTGCACAAATATACACATTGTCAATAAATAATCCATTTAAGCAACTAAAAGCTATTATGAAACTCATTCCCTATCACTAACTGATACAAAACAAAAATGCTGACTATATTGCTCAGGCGAAAGATGCCATTAGCCTTATATGCGATAGCAGAGGAGAAGGACAAAATTCATGTAATGTACTCCAACTCAACTTAATCTGACTAGAAAATTAGCTTTACCCAAGCCCAAGCCAAATGAAATACCTTCCTCTAAGCACCCAAATGGTGCAAGCAACCCAAAACCACAAACCCTAAACATGAATTTCCTATACAAATTTCGAATTCTGTGTCCCCTAGAGCTTCACAGCTGCAAAAACCAAAGCGTAATCGAGAAGAGCTCAAACCTCAAAAAACTGCAATCGAAAGCCAATTCACCGTGCCCTGAAGTAGCCGTGAGGAATCAAAACTTGCACGATCAGCACGAACACAGCGGCTTCCTTCTAGGAGTTCAAAGAAAAAACCCTGGGATTGTTTATCCTGTTCCTGGCAACTAGGAAGCTCTCTGCGAAACCCTAAGAGAGAAGGTGTGTGTTGGTTTAGAGAGAGAAGTAAAAGCTTGTTTATTAATCAATCCATGTCAACAAAAGAGAAGGAACACGCACACGGAGGAGAGAGAAGAATGCACGATTCAGTTGAGAAATCCAAAAAACGAAACAGATAAAACCCTCCAAAAAAAAAAAAACATTTATATAAGCGTTTGAGTCTCTATATAATTGGTGTAAAAAATTAAGAATTTTTTTAAGTATTTACGAAAATGAAAATTACTTGTTGAGAGAGGAGGAGGTCTGATTTAGCTTTTTAGGTGTAGCCACGTGAGAACATTGAGTACTACCCTCCATTTATTGTGTCAAAAGATTTAAACTTGAAATTTGTTTAGCTAGTACCTCACCTGTTTTTTTTTGGGGGTTATTTTCTAATACCAAGTTTACCTACTTTTATCGTTATCTGATGAGGTTTAAATATAACGAAAGTCTAAATTTAATTTGCGAAATGGAAAAAATGGATAAGTATATTAGACTTTTTCCGTAATAAATTTCTAATGGTGGCCAATGCGTCATACCATATTGGAAAAGTATGTTTGGCATAAGACCAGCGGTCTCAAATTCAAAACCCCTAAAAACCAGTGTGTGAATAAATCTCCCTCCCTCTTCCTACATTTGATAGATAAAATAAAAATATTTCTAACCGTTGATAGATTTTATGCCACTGTTTTTTTTGTCCAAATCAAAATAGTTATGGGTGGAGGCATTGGACCCTTGATTAATCATTTGCAATGCTTATAATTAATAGTGGATCCTTGAACATTTGAACCCACCAACCATCATAGATTCCATCTAATTTGGAAAAATAAATAGAAATAAACGTTGTAAACTTGCAAGATAAGGTGAGGTGTTGGGGAAAGAGGAGGAGCTGGAGAAAAGGGTCACAAGGCTCACAGTAAAAAGCAATGTGGAAATTGAATTAAAACAAACAAAAGGGGGTGAGGGGGGTGTGTGCCTAGAATTGGCAAAGTTGGAAAACGACAAAAGAAAACGTACCCAAAGCTCCAAAACAAGATCCCGTAAAGTGGTGTAGTGGTCTACTACTAGTTGAATTGGAGAAGCCTTGAAAAGCAAAGATCCTCCTCCTCCATCCAGTTAGTCATGGACAATTCTCTCCAACTACAATCTGCCACGTGGAATCAAGTTTTTGTTTATGTCCCATAAGACACCTGGCCAGTTTGATCCTTCCTCTGTCATTTTCAATTCCCAGACTGACTCATATACCCCTTTATGCTTTATTATCCTCTGTCAGATGATAGAAAGAGGAAGGTGCCCTTGTCATTTGCCTAATCTTCATCACCATGTTAACATACAATTTAATCCAATCACAATCTTAAATGAGTTATGCTAGGATTATTTGTGGGGTGAGTACATCATGCTATCTCAACTATCGATGACTATAGCGAGCGACTAACGCTAACATATTCCAAACCTCAATTGCCAGTCCAATTTGCAACAATCACAATGTTTTCATGTTGGATAAGGAAGTTTGTCGAAGATACAAATTAAAAGGACATTGACTTCAAGTTAACTGTTATACGTGGAGAAAGTTAAGTATAATTATAAGGAGCTTGTAACTCAAGTAATTTAAAGTACAATCCCTCGTTCTCCAATACATCGCGATGTAGTTTTGGTTGTCGATTCACACCAAGGTCATTGTGGAAAGAGATTACAAAGTGGTGTGCACATGCATGCACATCTGATGGTTTTTGGATATGAGATTTCACCAGAGAGTGTCCTGATAATTTGATGTTGAAACGTACTGAATAAGATGCCCTTCACCATACAAGATTCGCCTGAAATTGTCCATCAGTATCCAAAGATGGGAAAGTTTTGCATCGCTTGTCACATTGTGTTGTCACTTCAGAAGTCTCACACCAGTATTTATATCCATGGATGAAAATGGCCATAGATGGATCAAAAACCCTAATAATTTTTCTGGTACTGCTGTATTGCTAAACTGTGACAGAGGTCTGGAAAAGAAAAGAAAAAGTGGTTACAGAACAGTGGAAGAAATAGTTTATAGTAGTTATGGAAGAATCAAATTTTATTTATAACGGATAGCAATCATGTTTGCTTTGGGGTTCAGAAACTATAATAATAATCATGAAATAAGGATACTTCATAAAGATATATCTAAAGGCATATCTATTAAAAATGAAAAGATATATCTAAAGGGCACTATCAAAGGAAGAAAACAAATTTGAAGTATGTAACATCTGCATCACTTTAATGTCAATATATTATATTCTATCTTGTTAAGGAAGGCCGGTGGGGGTTGGAACTTGGACTCAAATGATAACAAAACTTATAAACTTAAAAAAATGTTGTTTTTAAATTATCGAGAGGACAGATTCGAATTTCGGACCTCTTTCATAAGAGGGGAGAAAAGTGCCGCTAAGCCGAGAATTCGTTGGTTATAAACTATTTTCACAAAGTAATGGACCTCTTTGGCTGTCTGGACCCATGTTTACACAAATCCACCAGCTGACCCACCCCTATTGGGTTTGAGCCCAAAACCCAAAAAAGGTATGCAGACCCACAAGAAGGGCCACAACCAAATTAGTTTGATTTGATGTACTTGGGAAAATCATTATTGTTTGATAATCACAATGTGTACACCCAAATGAACGACAAAAATTAACCTCAAAATTAGTACAGAATCCGATCTTAACCAACCCAATTTGCCTTTTCCCAAAAAAAAAAAAAAAAATTATCATTCATAAATTTTGTCGTTTCATCAAACACTTTCACACTATCTCCTCTGATATGGCCTCAGATCAGAACTTCTTCCACAACTGCCTCCTCAGCCTCTACCTCATAGCACCCCCAACCTACATCTCCCTCAGGTTCCTCCAGGCCCCCTATGGCAAGCACCACCGCCCAGGTTGGGGGCCCACCATGTCCCCTCCCTTGGCCTGGTTCCTCATGGAAAGCCCAACTCTTTGGCTCACCCTCCTTCTCTTCCCCTCCGGCCTCCACTCTTCCAACCCAAAAGCCCTTTTTCTCATCGTACCCTTTCTCTTCCACTACTTCCACCGCACCTTCCTCTACCCGCTCCGCCTCTGCCGGAATACCACCAATCCCAAAACATCAGGCGGTTTTCCTGTGAGCGTGGCGCTCATGGCATTTGGGTTCAATCTGTTGAATGCCTACTTGCAGGCCAGATGGGTTTCTCAGTACAAAGATTATGAGGCTGATGGGTGGTTTTGGTGGAGATTCTGTGTTGGGTTGGTGGTGTTTGGTTATGGCATGGCTGTGAATATCTGGTCTGATAGGGTCTTGGTGGGATTGAAGAAAGAGGGGAAGGGGTACAAGGTGCCAAAAGGGGGGTGGTTTGAGTTGGTGAGCTGCCCAAACTACTATGGGGAGATGGTGGAGTGGTTGGGATGGGCAGTGATGACGTGGTCTTGGGCTGGGCTAGGGTTTTTCCTCTACACTTGTGCCAACTTGGTGCCCAGGGCACGTGCGAACCATAAGTGGTATTTGGAGAAATTTGGGGAGGATTATCCTAAGGGCAGAAAAGCTGTCATCCCCTTCTTGTATTGAAAGGATTGAAGTAGGAGCATACATTTTGTTTCTGGTTATTATTGTTGTTATTTTTGGTACCCATGTTTAATTAAAGCATTTTGCAAGGGGTTTAGTTAAAGTGATTACGCGTAGTTACTCTTATGTTTGAATTCCCTTCACAAATATCGCTTGTATAATAAAAAATTAAAACATTTCAGACATAATTAAACTTTTGATGTTGTGGAGCTTGTGAGCGTTGAATTATGCTTTTTGGCACGGATGCTTAATACTAACATCACTTCATTGATTTTCCCATGAAGAAGATTTAGGGGGACCAAACTATGAACATGGTAAAGTTTGTCGGTTGGTTAAAGGGCAAAGTTAGGCTCCTTTTGGGTTACTAGGTTTTTGCTTGAAGAGGGTGTTTACAAATGTTGTTCCATTTGCAAGATGTCTCTGACAGGAGGGGTGTGATTTCGTATCTTCAGCTGCCTTTTTGTTTCTAAAGAATGATGTTAAAAAGTCAACAGTAAAAATGGGGTATGATGGGTTCTAACTTTTGAGTTCAGATTATTCACGATCAAGCAATTTTACCCATTAATGCCAAAGCTGCGGACAGGCCAACTGGTTCCTCAGTAAAACAAAGCTGGTTCTTATAAGCAATGTTCGGCAAGAATCTAAAAACACTGCAAGCATGCTTCGAAACCGGATCAAAGTCTCAAGAATAGTCATCAATTTCTCTATGGCCGGCAGCATAAGCACAAATCGCGTAGCGAAATTCTTGTGCAGAACCGAACAACAAAAAGTGGAAGTCTACTCTTTTTTTTAAATCGGGAGCAAATTCTACTCGGTATGTAAAAAAGGGGCCAAATATTCTGATCAGTACTGACTGAGGCGTTTGCAACTCATCGTATTGCCTTAATGATAAAACAATGGGGGTTAAGAGGAAATAAGTATTGAAAACAATTTATTTGCATCCCCACACAAGCTATACAAAGTGATCCGAATCTATAAAAAGAGCAACTGAAATTGTTGGGAGTATATATATAAAAAGAGAAATGCACTCAACCAAGAAAAAAAGTAAAATCAAATAAATTATAGATACCTAGATATATTAAAAAGTTCAAGCAGTAAATGATGGAGCTAAAATGTATCTCCTCCTTGTTCTTCGTAGATGCAAAACTTGTACGCTACCGCAAGATGTCAAAGGATGCTAACAGGCAGTAGCAACAGCTTTTGGTTTCCCTATTTGTCCATTTTTTGAAATCACTTCTATCTGTTTTGAACAATCATCTCTCCAGCACCATATCCGCAAAAGGCAGAGTAAAAGAGGTACTGCAGAAAAGCATAAGCTAATGAGTTTAAATCGAAATGCAGACCCAATAAAGAACATGCAGAACTACAACTGAAAAACTGATTTTACAATATAATCCACTCAGTTGTGGTCATGCATTTTACCATTAAATTTTGTTCTTTCATAATTCAGACAGGCAAACTACCAAACGACAAGCAAAAGGGAAAATGTAGTGTGCCACTCTCATTAAAGAAAGGAGGAGATAGGAAGGGAGAGGACAATCATTATAATATAGGATAGGATTAACTCACATTAACCGAAGGTGCGATTTGCACCCACTACTCTAGACTCATCAAAAGAGAAAGAATCTTCATTTGGATTTTCCGTCTTCAAACTTCCATCCAATCCTCCAGAAGATTCAATGGTCTTGGAAACCTCGGCCTTCAGCTTCTCATGCTTCTCTTTTAGATTTGAAGATTCCACAGCTGCTGCTATGCTTTGTCTGATTTGTTGCTCCAAGGCCACAATTTTGTTTTTGGCTGCTATATCAGGTGTCTTCCCTGCCTTAGCAACCTCCAACTTCAGCAGCTCAATCTTGTCCTTCAGGTCGGATGAATTGATAACATTTTCAATCCTGTCATTAATTTCTTCGTTCAATTCTTCTATCTTGGTTTTAACTTCTGACGGCAAAGTCTGCTCAACTGGCTTTGATTTTAACTCAACATCCAAACCCAAGGACTTGAGAACATCAATAAATTCAAACTCTAATTCTTTCCTTAATTCCACAATTTTCCCCTTCAGGTTATCATCCAAATCATTAAAGTTAGACACCCCAGAATTTTCAACCTCAGCCTTAAGTGCCTCAACTTTCTCCTTAACATCTTCGCGATCCATGATCTCACTGAATTTCTTGTTAACTTCCTGCTTCAGTTTTGCAGCCTTCTTGTTCTTCTCTGCAAGGTCATATGCTTTTGATAATTCCTTCAACATGTCAAGTTTATATTTTAGGTCTTCATAATTAGGAGCTGACGACAACCCCTGGTTAAATTCCTCCCTGAGTTTTTCAAGCTTTTCTTTTAGAGCTGGATGCAAGAGTTGGTTCTGTGCATTTACTTTTGAAAATTCCTCACGCAATGTCGCAAACCTGTCTTTCAAGCCCAGGGCTTTAACCGCCTCTGAAAATTCAGTATCCACTTCCTTTCTCAGTTTTTCTATCGTCTCAGTCAGAGGCAACATTGGAGGTTCATTAGAGGATTCTTTGGCTTTCAAAATTTGTTGTTTCACCTTTTCAACCTCACCCTCCAAATCCAAAACTGGAGTCTTTACATTAATGGGCTCATCTTTCTTCTTCATGTTCTTTTTCTTCTTTGGATCTATAGGAATTCCTTCTTGAAACCCACCAATGTTCCGGAACTTCATCATGCGATGCTTTAACAGTGCTTCTGTGTCCAACTTGTGAAGCTCCTGAACAAAACAAGAGACATAAATTAGGAAATGATACTGTAAATTTAGTTTTTGTAGAAGAAAAGGCACTTACATCCATTTCTTTGTTAATTGCATTTTTTATCTGTTGAGAGGTCCATGAGGGATCTGCATGTGCGCCACCAAGCGGCTCCTGTTAAAGGTCAGAATTTTTTTTTTGAAATTTTAGATGCCACATCAGCAAAACTGAGTAATGACTACAAGAACAATTTTCATAAATCAGACAACCATCTTTCTTGGTATATCATGGGTGAGCTAGAAAGTAAAGGAAAATCATTAATTTTGAGTAAATGGATCTGCATGTGGTTCCTGTTAAAGGTAAGTATAAATAATTTTTTTGATTTTTATACCACATTAAAACAAAACAAAATTCATAGAAAACAATGACCCCTTCTGACATATCAATGTTTCCAATGACAGTGATGAGTTTGGATGAAGAAACAAAGGAATATTACACATTAAAACAAGAACTTTTTCATAGAAAACAATGACCACTTCTGACATATCAATGTTTCCAATGACAGTGATGAGTTTGAGTAAGGAATATTACAAAACTCACCCCATAGGGTGCTGCAGAAGTTTTTGAAATAACAGTGTTATCAAGCTCCCATGTTCTTCCTAATAACTGAATGCTTATAAAAAACAAATAAAAAGATAGAAAGAAAGAAAGCCGAAACAAAAGGATTGCGATACATACAGGGATGATGCCATCTGCAATTTGCAGCTTGCACAACTCAGTTGCAGTAATCTTCAGCTTTTCAGCTGCCTGCAGAGATCATGAAGCTTTCAATAGGCTATAATCAACAAACCAATTAAAGACGAGCAATAGAATTTCGTATAAACCTTTGGAGAAGCTTTGGCACTCTTCCACAAGATTGCTGCACATGCTTCTGGACTGAATGCAAGAAGAACAGAGACAAATCCCAGAGAGAAACAATAAGTTAATTTGATGCTTGCATGTAACATAAAAAGAGAAACAAGCCTGGCATTAATCTACTTAAATATAAGACTCAATATTTCGGAACTAATGACCAGAAAAAATGGGATTAATCCAGATATAAGGCCTACAGTCCTTCCAGGCAATTGACCCCTTCAGAGTTGAATTTTGCAAAGCCAATTATATATAGTACACCGCCACTTGAGAATCATCTTGTCACTCAAAAATGAAGAAAGGAAGAAGCACATTTCCATTTTACAACTTCCCTAAGAGATGCAATCAATGAAAAGCAAAACCCAAATTACCTGGCAACATAGAAAACTGCATTTTCAAGCATTAATAACTTATTAGCACAGCCAATGGCAAGGGCACCACCAGAGCCACCTTCCCCAATGACAATAGAGACAATTGGTACCTTCAGGCCGAACATAGTCCGCAAGTTGTGAGCTATGGCTTCACCCTGGATGTTTGAAACGCAAACAAATTAGATGACCCAGCAGAATATCTAAAAGAGATTCGTGTGAAATTTAAAGTAGAGCTATCACATACTTGGCCCAGTTCCTCTGATTTAAGGTCTGCGTATGCACCCGGGGTATCAATGAAAGTAACAATGGGGAACCCATGGTGATCTGCATAGTACATCATGCGCATAGCCTTCCGATAACTGCATGAATATAAGTGTCCAATATTAAGTTTTGGAAGGCATATTAAGTTGGACACAAAAGATAATCTTATATCTTATTACTATAATGCACAAATTCATTTGGCATACCCATGGGGAGTAGGCATCCCAAAATTACGCTGAATGTTCTCCTTTGTATTTCTACCTTTCTGGTGACCCATGAACATATATCTTCTACCATCTATAGTTCCTATACCAGTGACAATAGCAGGATCATCATACCCTGCCCGGTCTCCATGAAGCTCTACAAACTGTACAAGTTAAAAACAATGAAAAAAGTTACAATGCAATTATTTCCAGCACTTGCAAACCCACTAACTGACTCATTTTTTTCCCAAAAAAATAAAAATAAAAATTTAAGGATAGACAATATGCAAAAAATCCATAAGTGAAGTAATGAGTATCAAACCTTATCAGTAATGTTGAAGACATGATCAAGGAAAGTTGGCCTGTTAGGATGTCGTGCAATATTCACACGTTGTATAGGAGTCAGATTCGTATATAAATCCTTTAAAGCCTGAAATCAAAAGATATACATCAACAGAGAACTTCAGAACCAGAAACTAGTTTATTTATGTAACAAAATCTGTACATTAGTTACTGATTTTCTAACTCAACAAAAACCAGGCATTTATTCATCAAACCTGGTTGTATTTATTCTCCAACAAAATAATTTGATCACTGAAGTCCAGCCCAGTTTCATTTGCCATCTTCCGCACCTGTAATCAATAAGTATCTCGTTAAACTAAAGCCAAAATCATGACAAATTCTCAAATAATCCAATACATCTTAAAATCAGCACAGAAGGTTTACATCAATGATCTTCTTTTCGATATCAACAAGTGGCTTCTCAAATGGCAAAGTAACCGGCTTGGGCTTTTCTTTCAGCGGCTTGAAATGGGAGAGATGAGTGAGCACTCCTCCTTTAACATTGGGATCGGGATCCTCAGGCCAAGGGTACTCGTGCTTCTTCACCTTCCTAAGCTTGGCGACGACGGCAAGGTTCCTCCTCATGCCCAATCGTACCTTCCCTAGGGCTCTTAGAGGAACTCCACTGACGCCATTACTGGAACTCCGAAAAATATCGGAAGCAGAGCTTGTTCCAGTGAACGCCAATGAAGAATGAGATATCGAAGCCATTCTCCAAACCTCTCCAAATTATACAATAGCCTCGCCAATCAGATCTCTAATTCTCAAGTACAGCTCCAGAACTTGTGAATCTGGAAAAAATTACCAATTAGATTATCAGAGCAATTTTCTAAACTAAGCTTTTAATTAGCTCCCACCCCCCGCCAAAAAAAAAATCCAAATAAAAGCTAAAGCAATCGAACTACTTGAGCTGATTTCTATGATTCTAAAAGCAAAAAACCAAACTTCTCCTCCCAAATCCCAATCTTTCCTCCATTTCCTAGTAACCAAGCAGAAAAAGAAGAATCCAAAGCAAAGCAGAGATTGAACATGCATGAAACAAAAACCTAATTTCAGTGTTCCAGTACAGAAATGAATAGATTCGTTCTCCTAGAGCAAGTGAAATGAAATGAGAAATGGAAGAGATGAAATTTTCTCGGGAAAATTTACCGGAAAGCAGTGGAGAGAGGAGGAGCTGAGATCACGCAGAGAGAAGGATCTGAGAGGCGCTTTGATAGAGAATGGAGGCGGAGAGAGATGATGTGAGTGTTATTATCGGACAATGCGAGAGAGACAGAGAGAAATGGCTGCAGCTGGAGCTTCGTGGAGATCGTCAAGGAGAGGGACGCAGTTTTGGGGTTTTCTTAAGAGCGAGTGAGTGTTGGGCGATACTTCTTATGACTTTACGAGTTAGTACTGAGTTGACTCAGATGAGGGACCTGGCTGAGCCTTTATTATATATGAAGAATTTATATAAATAAATAGCCAGCATTTTTCGGTTTGGCCGTTGAATGTGTGGAAATTCAAGACTCGCAAGACAAAGGCATAGCCATAGACCTTTTGGTCCTTCGTCGAGGCACGTGAGTGTGTGGCTCTTGCGCACGTGACTTGGGCTCGATGCCTTCGATGTTCCCTCTCCTAGGGCTCCACTCCTCTTATTAAACTAATTATCTCCTTAATCCAATAATAATTTATGTGAGTGGACGGTACAATGCGGTACATGAATGAATCAATGCTAAATTGAATCACTCACACGCAAATAGTTTTTAATTGTATATACATCAATCGTTGATAGTTACCTGCATAATAGACGAATATAGTTATTTTGCAATTGTAAATTTTTAATGGATAATGAGTTTGATAGTGTAACAAAATGTGCAATAATGTTGGTGTATATTGTGACGGCACCTCCAAATTAGTAGGAAAATTTTGGGGTGACGTGGAGTGGAAATTCTTATGCTTGTTAGGTTAGGTGGTTGGTAGGAGGTGCCATGGACCATGGTGTGCCACTCCTCGCTCATTTACAATTGAGTGAAAAATTGATCGAATTCACAACAAATTACAAATAGTCAAAGTTTTTGAATTTTCACCTATCAACATCCGGGTCTACACATCATTTTTCAAAGTCCATTATTTTTTAATTGATTTCAAGAAAAAAATCGTATTATGATAGATTTTAGTTATAAATCTCCCATTTTTACAGTGATACTGTAATGAGGAGTTATATCCTTAGTAGCCATCCGTTTAATGAATTTCCCAACATTGGACGGCTGGATTGAATCCCTCACCCCTCCTTATAGAAGTTTCCCCTCTTTAAGCAAAAAAAAAAAACAATCTAGACCATAAAAAATAAAATTCGAATTAGTTTTGTCCAGCCCAGTACACAAATTCTCTCCAAGGTTGAGCTGGGCTAACAGGAATGAGTACCCGCGCGTACGAAATTTAAAAGCCTTGGCCCAGCCCAAGGCACCCAAACTAACTGACAAACGGTCTCATCTCAAACGGCGTCGTTCCCATCGCCACCCAATACGACTGCGTTTTTAGTTGCGCCCATTTGCTTTATCCGGTGTTGGCCTCCACATAATCCACGGTCGTCGTCCCACAGCAGCTCTTCCATGGCGGACAAACGTTCAAATGGTAATAATCTCACACTTCTCTGCAACTTCGCCGCTCTCACTCCCGTTCTCTGAATATATTCATTCTCATATGCATTGTTTGGTACAGCAGAGACTGTCCTTGAGCAGCTGAAGAATGGAATTGCTCAGTTCGAGCTCGTCTCCTCCCCCGTTCTCTCAATTTCAACTTCAAATTTTCAGGCGAACCCAACGGTGTTGTTCGGAGACTACAGCCACCGGTTCTTTGCTAGAATTGGACCGTCACTGTAAATTTCGTACTATATTCTTTAAGATTTCACAGATTTTTAATTTTCGTTAATTTTTGTTTGATTTCATAACCCTGAAACCCAAAATCACGGACCTTTTTATTGTGGCAGAGGCAGAGGATCGTCGGCCACGAAGAAAGTTGAACGCTATTCGGTTCAGAAAGTTACTGGCGATGGACGTTGTCTATTTCGTGCACTGGTATTTGAGAATTGTACATCTAATTTTTGTTCAGACTTAAAAACTCTCTGTATCTGTCTCTTTCTCTGTCTCTGTCTCTCTCTGTCTCACAGTTTCAAATCTTAATCAGGTCAAAGGAATGGCCTTCAATAAAGGATTTTCTGTTAGCCCAAGGGAGGAGAAAAATGATGCAGGTATGCTGGGTTTGCATAAATGTTCTTATTTGTCAATGTGGATTTCAATAATGTTTAATTGCTTGAAATCATGGAAGGCATGGTTGTATTTCTTTCATTCTATGATATCTAATTCTGAATGTATCTATAAATTTGTGGCTTGGGTCACTTTCTGTTAAGCATGATGTCATTATGTATAATTTGAGTAGTAATGTGACCGGGAGTCCCATTAGCTCTATTGCACTGGTGGTATAGGTTGGTTTAATGTTCGGTTTTCATAACCTCTGTTTGGATTTGGCATTTCCTTATTACTTTTGGAGGCAATTTAGAATGACTAAATAAATTACTGTGAAAACATAGACGAACTACGGATGGCTGTGAAAGAGATTATATGTGAAGATGAGGAAGAACGCCCCAAGTACGAAGCGGCTCTGGTGGCAATTACTGTTGACGAATCCTTAAAACGGTAGACCTCTACCTTTTTATCAGTGACTGTAGAAGTTCTTTCAGATTTTGGTGTTCAAGTGCTTTAGCATGTCCTTATGATGGAAATCAATCTAATAATACATCTGTAAATGTCGTTCCATAGTTACTGCCAGCGCATCACAAGACCTGATTTCTGGGGAGGAGAGTCAGAGCTGCTGGTCAGTACTCTTGAGCCTCTAGTTCAGTTCTAACATTTTGTGATATTTTGTTTCATATCATTAGTACGTATCATCAGATTGTCAACTGTAGATATTACCAATCAATTAGACATGATTTTTGGTTAAGCGGTATCTTAAGTTAAGTAATTATTGTATGGGAAATTTAACCTTTAAGTGGAGGGCTATCGTTTCTCCAGTATGAGATTATCCATATGGCGGAGGGAGTTGGTATTTTAAACCAAGCACACTGCCGAAGAAGATCTTATAATTACTATGGTAATTAGAATGCGAACATGAAACGCTATTTTTAGTCTATTAGAATAGAAAAGAAGTACAGTTTCACATATTTGTTGTTGTAATCCGTTTTCTCACAGTTGTTACTGCTCTTTCTTGAGTGTGTGTGTGTGTGTGTGGTTGTGTGACCTATGACCTTCAATACTGCAGGTGCTGTCAAAGTTGTGTGGGCAGCCAATCACTGTTTACATACCAGAGCATGAGGTATATTTTTCACTGAAAAGTATTTTTTTTTTAGGCTTAATTATGTACATGCCCCCTGTGCTTTCCAACTTATCTCAGATTACCACCTGTGGTGGAAAACGTCTCAAAGTACCCCCCAACGTGCAAAAAACTGTCTCACGTTACCCTTTCCGTCAGTTTTTTTGAAGTTCCGTTACGAATGTTACTGTTCATCTCCCCCAAAATTCCAGAACAGTAGCCCCTCCCCTTTGTTACTGTTCATCGCTTATTTACCCTCCAAAACTCAGAAATTTCTCCTAACCAACACAACTAGCAGCAAGAACAACTCGAGAGGTTGAAAAATCATACCTGGATCGAAGAAAATGGTGCTCGGAATCGCCCGAACGAGCAATGGAGATTTTGGGTAAAAACCGGCCAATTTCTTGCTTTTTTCGGTGATCCAGACGACGGTTGGCAGCGGCTGAGATGTGAGGGTGGTAGAGGACAACGTGCTGGTTCTTTTGATATCCATGTCGTCGCTTGGGGTGGCCGGAGGAGGCGATGGCAGCCCAAAAACTGGTGCGATGAACAGTAACAAATGGGAGGAGCTGCTGTTCTGGAATTTTGGGGGAGATGAACAGTAACGTTCGTAACGGAACTTCAAAAAAACTGACGGAAAGGGTAACGTGAGACAGTTTTTTGCACGTTGGGGGGTACTTTGAGACGTTTTCCACCACAGGTGGTAATCTGAGATAAGTTGGAAAGCACAGGGGGCATGTACATAATTAAGCCTTTTTTTTATGCCAATGCATCTTCTTTAGTTTGGGAGATACTCAAACCTGACCTAAGAAGAGCTCCAGATTATGGACTTGTCTAGCTGTTAGTGAATCTCCCCTCATTTAATTTTGTTCCACCTAATAAACTAGCATAGTTTAAAGGTGGAGATTGTTAGAGTTGCACATTTTCCTAGTTATGTTTTATACTTTCAGTTGTGATCTGTTGGTTGAATTGGTTGCAGCATACAAATGGTGGGAGGAGTTCTGGTTTCATTCCCATTGCAGAATACGGAACCGAGTTTGGTAAAGGTTCTAGAAACAGAAAACCCAGGAAGGTTGTAAGGCTCTTGTACAGTGGCAGCAACCACTATGATCTGCTTGTATGAGAGAGAGAGAGAGAGAGAGAGAACCTGGAGATGCATTTTGTTCTTGTATTCAAGATAGATTTTAGAATTCAATAGAATGGTAGTGTACTTTTGTTGTAATTTTGAAGCATTTTCCTTTTCTTTTATTTTAAAAACCGACTTGCTAATTTTTGTAATTTTTTTCGTCCTTTGCTTTAACTGGATCCATTATCCAACCAAGTACATGTAAGATGCGAACATCGATATATTTGGCATGTTTTCCTTTTAACTTGGACTGGCGAAATCTTCCCACTTTGAGTTAAAAAGAAAAAGAAAAAGAAAAAGCAGAGACACAGAGAAACGAAACCTTGTCTTCGCGCGTCTTTACACGTGTTCAGCAGTTGCTTGCACGTGGTGACTCATAAACATCCCCAGCAGAATAAAAACGTTAAAACCCCATTCCATTTCACAAAATAAATAAATAAAAATAATGAAAAACTAGTATCTTTCGAGACACTTTTTTCCCTTACTCAATCCTCAATCCTTATAGCCCCCTCATCTTCAATCCAACAAGATTCTCAGAATCTAGGGTTTGCTTCTTCTTCCTCTTCTCTTCTTCTTCGTCTTCTTGTTTTCTCTGAAATGGAAGGAGCGAGCAATGGAGGGATGTTGTACCACGAGGTACAAGAGTCGAAGCTGTGCGCGGTGCATTGCGTGAACACGGTGTTGCAGGGGCCTTTCTTCTCCGAATTCGATTTGGCGGCACTCGCCTCCGATCTCGATCGCAAGGAGCGGCAGATGATGCTCGTCGAGGGCGGGTCCCACGCCGGCGATTTCCTCTCCGAGGAGTCTCACAACGTCTCCTTGGACGGCGATTTCAGCATTCAGGTTCCAATTCCAATCCCAAAATTTCATTTCATTTCTCAGTCTTTTAGAAAAAAGGTTTGGATTTTTCTGCGTGGAACTCTCGCATTGTCTTCATGGTTGTTTTTTGCTTTCACTATTGACTGCCCTGTGACTAGTGCATAGACTCTTTCCTTTTTTCTTTTTTTTCTGCGCAAAACCAACTAAATGTGCTTTCTTTATTTTTCGTTTTATTGGTTTCTCGTATGACTAGCAACTCACCATTTTACAGAGTTAGTTTGTAATTTATCGTATGATTTAGTGATATAGAAATCTTTATTACATCGGGTTAATGGGTTTTTGAATTCAACGTTTGAGCTAGCTGGAGGAAGAGAAACTACAACTTTTGTTTGTCTAGCATTTTGATTCTCTGTATGTTTACGAATGAGACTCTGTTCTCTTTCACAGAAAGATGATGCTCTGCATTTGGTTTTCCTTGTTATTTCTTGTCTTGAGATTTATATTAGTTATTTCCACTATTCTACTAGGAGAAGAGCACTGTGATTTGGCTCTAAAACAAGATTTGTTTGGTGGATTACTTACTATAAAGAGGAGGACTGTGGTCATTTTATTCTTTTACTGCCTTCTGAAAAGGGTTTCTGGAATTTCATATAAACTGAAGCCATGTTGAATTGGGCTTATTGTTGAGGTCGTTTACAGGTGGCAAGTGGCCTTGAACGAATGTTTATAGTAACGGTTAACTAGCACTACCAAAGGACTTGATCCTTGATTAATTATGATGTAGTTATCTAGTTTCCACGTGTCTCTGTGTGTGTACGCTGTGGTTTTTAATTTGCTAAGTTTGAGAGGCAATGACGACTCATTATTATGCTAGTATGCTGTACCGGTATTTTAATAAGACCAACTTGGAGGCAGGGATTCATACTTGATCATTCACATATGTATGTGTGTATATATGGGATGTTTTAATGACCGGTAAAATAGTTTAGGAAGTAGTTGTCTGTAAATGGTGCTGTTGATGTCATTGCGGTGCTTTGGTGAGTCAAAACCCTAATGTTGATTGAACCTATGCAAACCTTGGTGCTAAATTATTGGTCGTTCTTGCATAAAAAAGTTGAAGAGTGCTAATCTAACCTACACTTTACTTTGCCTCTATATAGACAAAATACTTTTTATTTTTGGTATTATAGAGGACAAAATGCTTTGCCTTGGCCTTTCCGTTGCAATGGGGCTTGATATTAATCAAAACTTTGTTGTACCCTGTGTCTAGAGTCATGAATTTCTGGTGGAAAATGTGCTTCCTCAAGGGTATCTTGTTAGTTTTCATGCAATTGCATTGCACGTCAGGTTATCATCAATGCAAGCTTGTAAACCACCACTTGGTCCTTTAGATTTGAATAATGATTATACTGTAACAAGTTTTGAATTCACCCATGGAGAGTACAACTTTCCCTGGCCAGAGCAGATTGAGGTTGCCTCACTTGACTTATGCGACTAATTTAAAGTTTTCCCAGAAAATTGATGAAGCAAAAATGTTTTGGGTGTTATGAAGTGGGAAAAGTAAAATGAACTATTAAATTAAGTTCTTTTATCTGGACTTGTTTTGTATGTTATTTATCTTGAAGTGGGTTTCCCCTTCTGATTTCCCTTATATATATAAATATATATATATATATGCAAATATTTTGACTTCTTACCATCAACAAGATCTCCTATCTCCTCATTTTCAAATTAATAACAACAAGTTTTGGAAATTTCTTTAGTCCAATAGTGTTGTATTTTTCTGGGTGTGATTTCTATACGCTGTTGGATTTATATTAATTTAATTATTTATGAAGTTCCTTTTCTTGTTTTTCTGCTAACTAAGGATATTTCAGTCCTAGAAATTTAATCTTGCTTAATTCAGCATGTAACTTGAATTGTTTATGAAGCCATTCTTATTATAGAATGGGATATTTCAAAACTGAGGGGATGAGGACTAGCCTAGTTCTTGTGTTTGGACATAGCTTTATATGGATTTAAAGGGTAAAAACACGAAATAAGTCCAGAAGTGGTTTTACAACCCAAAAAGTATATAGTCGGTTCTTTTTCATAAGTTTTAATTGCAACAATAACTTTCATTCTTTCCAATGATTAGTATTGCTCCGTAAGAGATTCCAGAGCAAACCATTGAAGTTTTTGTTTGCAGGTTCTACAAAAGGCTTTAGAGGTTTGGGATCTGCAGGTCATCCCCCTTGATTCTCCAGTTGCAGAGCCTGCCCAGATTGATCCTGAGCTTGAAAATGCATTCATCTGTCATTTGCAGGATCATTGGTTCTGTATCAGAAAAGTGAGCGGAGAGTGGTATAATTTTGACAGTCTGTATGCAGCCCCACTGCACCTCTCAAAGTTTTACCTTTCAGCCTATTTGGACACACTAAAAGGCTCTGGTTGGAGCATTTTCCTGGTGAGAGTCCCATGTCATCCTCTGAAGCTTCTAATGGCTATGGGCAGTGGCTTTCACCTGAAGATGCTGAGAGGATAACTAAATCCTGCAACTCCACAAATGCTCAACCTCAGGGAACAAATTGGAATCAACAATCTTCGGCTCCATTTCTATCAACAGAAGAAGCAGAATTGCTTTCAGAAATGGAAGACGAGGACTTGAAGGCTGCTATTGCTGCCAGTCTTATGGATTCTTCCCCAGCCCCAGTCCCATCCCCATCCCCAG